ATTTATTGTAGAGATGAGGTCTTGCTGCCCAGGCGGGTCTCGAACCCGCGGGCTCGGGCAATCCACTCACCTCAGCCTCCCAAAGGCGCGGGATTACAGGCTGAGCCACCGAGCCCAACTCCTGCATCCTATTTTTAAGAGGATTATTACCGTCACAAAAAGTCTGTGTTTGTTGTAATAGCTCTCTGCCTTTCTTTTCCCACCAGCCCTGGTGATGGACACTCCTTTCCTATGAGGTCTATGAATGAGTCGCAGAACCCACTGCTAGCAAATGAAGAACCCTGGGAAGACAATGAGGATGACAACCGAGGTAAGCAAGCTCAGAAGGAAGTCTTTTCTCCACTCAGGAGATCAAGCACTATGAAGTCCATGTTAATAAACCTAATGTAAAGTAGCGAATAAATAGTATCCAAAAATATTTTATAAGTATGTCAACCTTATAATTGCCAAATCCTGGGAGTTTTCTTCCAATACAATGCTATGTCTCTCCTTTGGACAAGAACATATGAGACACAGTGCTGTGAATGCATGCTATCTTGTTATCTAAAGCGTTCAACTGCTTCTTAGAAGTGGATGGAGAAGGGCAAATATAGCCAGATTTGTTTAGTAAACATGGGTAGCTTTTGTAGGATTAGATGACAGTTTGGGAGGCTCCTTACCAGCTTGGTCACACCAAGATTTATATAATGAATCAATAAATCAGGAAACATAATAAACAGTGCTATGTATGTTTGTAAACAATCCTGCCAGGTGGTCACTCATATTTTGCTTGAGTGCAAAGCTTTAATTCAATCAGTAAGCAACAGTTCACCTTTCTCTACCCTGCTCCATTCACATTGGTTAAATTTTCTTTATAATCTTATACTCATTCTCTTTTAGAATGTTTAAATACACTAAAAAAAGAGACAGTAATGGGGTCAAGCCTATATATGCACGTAGTGTACCTTTCTAAAAGGTAGAGGGACGAAGGAAACATAAAGAAGCAGAACTTTGCCCTTCCAACTTTCTCCCACCAGATCATTGGATCATCTTGAGACTTAAAAGTTTAGTTCTCAATTATCATAATACTACAAGAAAGGGATTGGCAGTAGTGGAAAACTGCCAGGGGAGGAGGGGTGGGATTGGCAGTTGAGGGAAACTGCCAGGGGAGAGAGGAGTACACCTCATCAACAAGGGTACCTGCATAATGAACATTTGTATACCTAACCCTGAATTGTACCCCACATCTTTAAAAATAAAATAAAATAAATAAAAGTTAAGTTCTCATTTCATATATCTCCATTGCCAGCCATATTCTTTATCTTCACCTGTTGCTAGCCTACTTCTATGACTCCAACGGTTGCTTATGTTGCTAATACCAGCCATTAGAGAGTAGTTTTTAGCTACTGGTTCCAATAATGCAGTAGCTGGCAGCAACTTTGAGTAGGAACTCCAAGTAGTAACAAACTGTATCTGGGGTGAAGGAGACTGAATGAGGATGTAGAAAGGCATCAAGGTGGGAGCAGAGGTGGAGAGCAAGCCTTTCTAAACTGGTATCCAGTTAGATTATCCAGGCCCAGATTCTCTACCTGGAAGTCTACTTTTAAAGAAAGCATGTTACTAGGAATAAGGAAAACAAAACAGTCCCAAATCCCTAATAACAAAACAAAATAGTTTTTGCCCAAGTCCAAAGAACTTACAATACAAGCAACTAACTCCCTTACCTCCTCCTGCTGACTATTGAATCAGCCTGTAATCCCAGCACTTTGGGAAGCTGAGGTGAGTAGATTGCCTGAGTCTGCGAGTTCGAGACCCACCCGGGCAATTTGGCAAGACCTCATCTCTACAATAAATCAAAAATTAGCTGGGCATGGTAGCATGCGCCTGTAGTTCCCGCTACTTGGAAGGCTGAGACGGAAGGATTGTCAGAGCCCAGCAGGTCGAGGCTGCAGTGGCCGTGAGTGGGCCACTGCACTCTAGTCTGCGTGACACAGTGAGACTTCAACTCAAAAAAAAAGAAAAACTGACTATATTTTGACCTACCTTCCTTCAGCCTTTACTCTTTGAACAGACTTTTATTTATAGCAGTAATGCAAACTCTTATTTTGCTATTTAAAAAAAACATTTTAATAGAAATTAGAGACTTATTATGTCTTAACCTGACTTGAATTAACTCAACAATGTAAGAAAACTATTTATATCAGAACTTTGTGTTGGCAAGTGGAATACTTTAAGTATTAATGTAGCACCACATAATAAAATGTTATTTTTTAAGTAGTCTTTAATTTCAGACTTTTTAAAAAGCATTAAGTCATAAAAATTAGTGTGTATTGTTATCATTTACAAAGTACTTTCTTATAGTTTTTCTTCATACTTTTGACCCTCACAACTGTCAGGTTAAGTAGGCATTGTTATTAATATAATCCCCATTTTATAATAGAAGAAACAAAGATTCAGAGATGTTAAGTAACTTATCCAAGATCACATAGCAAGAAGGAGGCAGTGCTTGGACTTAAAAGTAAGGTATCTTGATTCCAAATCCTGGGGGTTTTCTTCCATTACAATGCTATGTCTCTCCTTTGGACAAAAACATATGAGACACAGTGCTGTGATTGCATGCTATCTTGTTATCTAAAGCATTCAACTGCTTCTTACATAAATCATAAAATCATTGACTACACGCGCCTTTAACTTTAGCAAGACCACTATACCATCTCTGATAGCAGAGGGATTTTTTTAAGTTTAGTAAAGGAGATTCCACAAGCCTCTCTTATAACACATTCCAATATTAAACAATTTTAGCTATTAGAAAACTGTGCTGTTATTTAAAACAAGTTCTCATACTGTACTAATTGTCCAGTTGATTCTGTTTTACTCAGTTGCCCCTATTTTCTATACATAACTGATGATATATAAACAGTTCTGACACTTTCAACAACTTAGGTTCCTGGGAAAGGTGCTATAAGGTGAAATTATATATGTGTGTTGAACTTAATTTCTTTTAGGAATGATGTCAGAGTTTTGTTCCTAGCCCAAAATATAATATTTAGTTTACTATAAATGATGTACATTGCATAGTGTAAAATATTCTTAAATGTATATAAAATACTAAAATATGGTTCAAGTAACCTGTTAGGTAAGAATGTAATATTATAGTCAGGAACTATATAAAGCAGTATCTTCTTTTAAATCCTTTCCTTATTTTAGTAAAGCAAATTTCTAGGTAAAGAAATATCTCTATGAAATAAGGAATTTAAACAGGCTTCTCTGATGTGATTTTTAAAGTAAGATATTTAATTAATGTACAAATGCATAGAAAAATGTACAAATCCACAGTGTACAGGCCACGTAGTTTTCTGAGGAAATTTAACAGGCATTGTTTTAAAGACTTTTGAGAGACCAGGGGCTACATTTTCGCTTTTTGAGAAAATGATCCAGAGATGTCTGTTCTGTTGCTCGTTTTGTTCATTATTAAGTATCCTGTAGCTTACTTAATAAAAAGGAGAGATTACAATATACCTATTTTTGGCCAGACTCAGTGGCTCAGCCTGTAATCTCAGCACTTTGGGAGGTCAGAGTGGATTGTCTGAGCTCGCAGGTTCAAGACCTACCCGGGCAATTTGGTGAGACCTCGTCTCTACAATAAATCCAAAAAAAAAAAAAAATTAGCTGGGCATGGTAGCGTGCGCCTGTAGTTCTAGCTACTTGGAAGGCTGAGGCAGAAGGATCGCCAGAGCCCAGCAGGTTGACACTGGGGTGGCCATGAGTGTGCCACTGCACTCCAGCCTGGGTGACGGAGACTCCAACTAAGATATAGATATAGATGTAGATGTAGATGTAGACGTAGACGTAGACGTAGATGTAGACATAGACGTACATATAGATATAGATATAGATATAGATATATAGTTGTTTTTGTTCTGTTTAAATTGGAATTCATTTCCTCCAATCTGGATGGGTCGCATCTATGACCATGCCTGTCATAAGTATCAAAAATAAGTTGGGTATAATCATCAGGGTGATTATTAAATGCAAACTGCTGTGAGTCAGAGCCTGCCTGTATGTGAAACCCATAAAGAGTCTTCTGAGGTGAGAGGAAGTAATCCTAGTTTCTTAATATTTTCTTGTACAGTTGATTTCTCAATTTTTAAAATTTTTATGGCTCTGGTGCCTTTTTGAATTATCTATATCCTTTTATTGTTTCAGCAGGTAGCAAAGCCTGTGAATTTTTCAGCCATCACCTCTTTCAAATTAGTTGCTGCACTCTTTGATCATGGACATTTATTTGAGATGCAGCATCCCTGGAAATACTGAGGAGGTAGTCACATTCAATATTTCCTAAGCAGTAAACTTAACAGAGACAATGGCAGAGACTCCAGCAGCAGAGCCATGGCTTTTTTTATTTGCAGAGGAGTAACTCTGTTTATTTTAACATGGGTGTGTATCTATTTGTTTGTTTTTATTGTAAAAATTTAAGGTATACAACATGATTTTTGAAATACAAATAAATAAATTTCATTTCATTATTTCAAATTACTACAGGTAAGCAATTTAACATATACATTGTCTCACAGTTACCTTTTTTGTGATAAAAGTACCTAAAATCTACTCTCTTACAAGAATTCATAGTATACAGTATGATTAACTATAGTCCCCATGTAATACTTTAAATCTCTAGATTTATTCATCCTACGTAACTGCTTACTTTGTACATTTTACCCTACACCTCCCCTGACACCCCCGCCTGCCTCTGCCACTGTTCTATTCTCTGTTTCTATGTATTTGACTCTTTTTTTAGACTCCACATGTAAGAGAAATTATGTAGTATCTTTCAGTGTCTGTCTTATATCATTATATCATGATGTCCTCCAGATTGATCCTTGTTTTTGCAAATGACAAGATTGCCTTCATTTTTAAAACTTAATAAAATCAGTGGGCACTTCCACTGTTTTGATATTTTGGCTACTGTGAATAATGCTATGATGAATATAGGAGTGCAGATATCTCTATGAGGTGATGATTTCATTTCCTTTGGGTATGTACCCAGAAGATTCTGTTATCCTCAGTTGCCCTCATTTTCTGTGCATGATTGGTCATATACAAACAGTTCTTGCACTTTCAACAACTTAGATTCCTGGAAAATGTGCTGTAAGTCAAAATTACATGTGCATTGAACTTAACTTCTTTTTAAAAATGATGTCAGGAATTATGTCAATCCCAGAAGAGGGATTTCTGGATCATATTGCAGTTCTACTTTTAATTTTTTGGGTACCTTCCATACTATAAGGGCTGTACTAACTTACATATTCACCAATAGTGTATGAGGATTCT